CTGTTCCTGGCCCAAGTTTTCCTCCTCAAGTTTCGGTGCTACGCCCAACTTTATACTGTAACGTACACAATGCTATTCCTACCAGAACTGTGAGTTAACCCTTTGCTGCCCATGCCGACACACGCGTCCTGCCATTCACAATGCTATTCCTACCAGAACTGTGAGTTAACCCTTTACTGCCCATGCCGACNCCTTATGTGTATTTGTTTTTATTTTGTCAATTTATGTTTTTATCTTCGATGTGAATTTAGTTTTCTAATTGATTCTTATTTTCTTATAGGTTTTGAACTTTTGAACTGACGATGGAGCTGGACTCCGAAACGTTTTCATTCTTAAGAAATGGTTAATATTCTGGCTGTTTTCTTTGCTTTTAAATTCCTGGTAAACTTGCGACTTAAGCAATCTAGTAATTTTTGTGCTAACATCCTTTGACTGCTGCTGGATAGTCAGTATGGATTTTTTGTTTGTTCCCAACAGTGTCGGTCAAAATTCCAGAAGTGATGAACTTCCTTACTAGGTATCACTCGGGTACAGCTAAAAGTGTCCGTTACTAATAAGTATATGTGGTATTATGTATTTGTAGTCTAGTATATTAGTTGGTTATATAATATATAACATGTTGGACTCAAATTATATTTATGTACGTTTTATCGCTGGCCGGCTTCCAGAACCCGTTAGCAGCCTCTCGTAAAACTGTATGTTTCTGCTCCTTTTTAAAATGATAGTTAGCCCTAAAACCAAAAAGCTTGAAAAATAGAATCTAGTTGTTTTTCTATTGTAGAAACCAGCACCTGGAGCTATAATTTTGTGGCATCATTGTTTCTCTGTCGATAAAAAAATATATTCTGTCCAAATATGGTTACCCCTGGAAAAAAGACTGGTGTATCATTAAATCTGACATAGGCTTTGTAGGGGAGACCCATTCATTTGCGTCGGGTAAATCGTGGCCAACAGGGCAGCGCTCTGGCTGTTGACTGCCACAGCTGCTGGCTTCGAACGGCCTAATAAATCTTAAGATTCGTCTGATAAATCCTTAGATTCGTCTTAACGTCACTGGAAACGAACCGTTCTACGTTATTTACGAAGAAACTGTTCATTATTACTCTTATTTTGTTGCAAAGCGAACATGTGTGCACAGTGCAGAGCTTTCTGCACCAATCGCGCTAAAATATGCACTAAGGCCGAATGCAACAAATGTGCTCCGACAGGCATGAATGGTAAGCCATTCCAATATAACAGTTTCCCAGTGCAAGAACTTAGTGAGTAATACTTGTAAATTGCAACTATCAGGTTAGCGCGACGTTGCCCTGATATCCGTAATCCCTGCAATTAGGATCCCGTTCTCTCGAATCCGATCATTCCTGTTATCTCTATTCCCGTTAATAAAGATTATAGCACTAGAATAATAATGTATGCTAATTAAGGAAAGACCCGGGACATGCGTGGAACATAAAACTCCCATTTGACTCTCGTTTCAAAATATTAAAAACTGTATTGCTTCTTCTCAATTAAATTCATAAATACTCGTACTAATTTCAAACCTAAATTTCAATTTTTACCCTCCCTTCTCCCCTGCCAGTTTCGCATTGCCTCGCTATTGTGCCACTGAGAATCCATTTTCAGGTGCAGGCAATATCCCGACACGATAAGTATCATGGATACGCGCCCCAACAGCCCCTATATACAATATCCCGACACGATAAGTATCCTGGATACGCGCTCCAACAGCCCCTATATACAATATCCCGACACGATAAGTATCCT